TACAATCAATTTGTACAATAGTGGTCCTGAGGGGACGTACATTCTTAGCTTACAAAGATAACAGAATTAAGAGACTGAAGTAAAGACAGGCATAAGAAATTATAAGAGTATTATTTGGGAACTGAAAAATGTCTATGAAATCTTCACAATTTATGTTCATAGGTTAAAGTAAAGACAGGCTTAAGAAATTATAAAAGTATTAATTTTGGGAACCAATAAATGTCCATGAAATCTTCACATTTTATGTTCCTCTGCCGTGGCTCCAGCCGGTCCCTCTGTTTGGGGTCCCTGACTTCCCGCAACAAATCTTTTTCTTTACTTAAAAACAACTTGTTAGGGAAACCTATGGGTTGCTACTAAAAGTTTTAGGGGCATTTAAATGAGTTTTATTTCCTTACTATTTTATTTTAACTTGTAGATCTTGGTTAGGAAGAGCCACAATGAGTAGAATCTTGAGCCTTACTTATACAAATTCTACTTAGAAAAAAAAGGGTACATATTTTTTCCATTACCATAAATTTGTTTTAGACTCTGTATATAGACATAAAAGGTTTTTTTAACTCAAGAGGACATTTGCCTTTCTAAAATGCTAGGTTGGTTATGTCCTTCTTGAAAGGCTTCCCTTGACAAGTTATAACCTAAACTTGTTTCAGGCACCCTTGACAGTAATCTGTCTTTCCAGCTTTTCTCCTGTGTTCTTTCCAGTCATACCCTGCAATCCAGAAATACTAGGTTGTGTGAGATTCTTAGGTCTGCCATGTTTCACACTTGTCTTCACCTGGCTTCATGCCTCTGCAAATGCTAATTCCTCTACCTGCCTTTCCCTTGTGAGCCAGCAAGAGGAATTGCTGTTCTTCTAGGTGCTGCCCTCTCTTAGGACCTACTTTGTTGACCATCCTAATTCAGTGGCTTCTTATCTGGTGCACTAATGCCTTCTGTGCTGTGGTCTCATCCCACTGTATTGTGGCTGTATTCTTCTTGGACTTTTCCTTATCAACTGTGAACACCTTAAGGATGGATTTGGATTCATCTTTGATTATTGCTCAACAATGACTTGGTAACTGACAGGTTATTCCCAAAAAGGTTGCTACAATGCTTGCCTGTTTTCATTAGAAAATAGAACCAAACTTAAAACATGGACAGTGGAGATGAATTATTTGTCCAGAATTCTATAATGCAATGACACAGTTTTGTGTTTACTTTTGTCTTTTCCATTTTTTCTCTGCATTTTTGCTTAGTTGTGAACATAATATGTATCTTAAATATCATACTTTTAAAAATCATAGTGTAAGTACTTTCTTTGCTGCTGCCTAATCTTCATAGTTCTCATCTTTAATGATTCATTTAAATTTTACCAAGTGGATAATTTACATATGCATTTCTTTACCAGTGGATATTTATTTTTCCTCCTAATTTTTAATACTTATTGCTGTAATAATTATATATTGGATACATTTAGAAATTAAGAATGCCAGAGTGCAGAGGAAAGAGCCACTGATTTGAATTCAGAAGATCTTGGTGCCAGCTTTGCTCCATGTCCTTTGTGTGTCTTTGGACCTTGACTGCTCTGAACACGTCTTCATCTATAGTGAGGGATATCTGTGGCATATGATTCTTGTAAAGATCAAATAAAATCCAACAATGGGAAGTGAAGTAGATTTGTAGGATCCTTAATGTGAGCTAACCACTGAAATTTTGCTATCTTATTTCATTGAATCTTGGGAGCAGCCTTATAAAATCAGCTGGAAGAGACTGAATAACTTGCTTTAAGACATGCATGTAAGGGCTGAGATCCAAACCAAGGAATGCTCAGAGAAGAAACACACTTAGGAAAAGATGCACATATTGAGATATTCAGAATATTTTTATTATTGATCAATATTTCATAAAACTGCTTAAATCTCTGATAAAGAATAGTGAATCTAGTTGTCAAAGTCTGACTTCAAGATATGATCTTGGTATGAGACAGGCAAAAAGAATTACTGATGTAACAGGGGAAATAACCAACATCCTATGTGAAGATGAATGGAGGGGCATCAATGAAAGTAGACCTTTATAGAGAATTGGGCTTGATGACATCTCAAGGTTATGGCAATTCAAAGAAGATACAGAGTTACAGAGCTGGAAGGAAAGAGGGAGAAGTTAGTGGTTCATTTTGCAGAGTGAGGATGAATTGTAATGAGATGTAACCCGGGGCTTAGCCAGGAGATGTTTGTAATCTTTTAGACAAATAGAAAAGGAAGCTGCCACATTGTAGAAGCCAAATTGACAAGATTTGTTGTCATTTTCCGTCTACATGTCAGATAACGCCAGTATTGTGTAGGGTTAGTACATTTATTGTGGTATCTGTCTCCTGGGTTTGAAACCCTAGCTTTGTGACCTTGAACAAAGTTACTTAACCTTCCTAAGTTTCATTTTATTTCTGTAAAATGGAGAGAGTAATAGTAGCATTCATTCCATACATTCAATGTGAGAATTAAATGAAATAATGCATGTCAGTGGCTTAACACAAAGTAATCATTAATAGTGGTGTTTAGTGTATGTTTATTATTATGTCCTGTCCTACTTCTATTGATCTTCATTACCTGCCCAAACCCTTGCAGTTCTCTATTATCTGACTCCATTCCACTTTAGAGGTCCAAATGTCTTCAAAGGCCTGGCAGGTAAAAAACAAGCTAAGCAAGACTGTGGCAAACTGGGGCCACATGTTCCATATAAAAAAGAGGCACCTGCTACTCACTTTAAGCCCAGTGTGGTTACCTTTGAAGAGGTGTCAGAAACCTGGACTTTATGTGGAACTTCCCGCTTTTTAAATGTGTATAACTAAATAAGAATTCTTAACCAACATGCTAAGACCAAAAAAAGCCCATTTGCAGACTGGATATGGTTGCCCTCTTGCAGCCTCTGCTTTATGCCTTTCTGCAGCCTTGATGACTGCTTACTTTTCCTTGCATAGACTTTATTCCTTGTGCTTTCAGACATACTAGTAACTGTTTGAATTGGCTTTGGTTCTTTCTCTCTTTAACGGTATTGTTCTTTTAGACTTGACTTGACCTGACTATTTTCTCTGAATTCATCATTTCCTCCTCTGTGGTGCCAGTGCACTTTGCAGATCTTTCTATTCTAGTACTTAAGACATTCATTTACTTGTTTATTCAGTAAATAATTATTAAGCAGCAGAATGCATAGTAGCTATAACCATAAGCCTGCCTTCCTGGTGCTATGTTACAGAGTTAATGTTCATGAGTCACCCCTCCCATAAGAAAGTGAGCTCCTTTAGGGTGGGAACCATGTGCTCTTTGTCTGGTTTCTTCAGCAATTGGCTCTGTGAGCCTGACACCCAGTGTATTAGTTTTCTATTTTTGCTGTAACAAATTACCATGAACTGAGTATCTTAAAGCAACAAGTACTTATTATTTTATAGTTATAGAGGTCAGACCCTGAAATGGGTCTCACAGGGCTAAAATCAAGCAGGGCTGTGTTCGTTGTGTAGGCTCTGGGGAGAATCTGTTTCCTTGTCTTTTCCAGCTTCTTGAGGCTGCCTGCATTCCTTGGCTTCTGGCCCCTTCCTCCAACCTCAAAGCAAGAATGTAGCATCTTGAAATCTCTCTCTGACTAGGACCTCCTAATTTGCCTCCCTCTTCCAATTGTAAGGAATCTTATGATTACATTGGGCCCACCTGGATAATACAGGATACTTCATCTCAAGGTCAGTTGATTAGCAACTTTAATCAATTTGCAACCTTAATTCCCCTTGCCATGTAACATAACATATTCACAGGTTCTGGGGATTAGGACATGGACATCTCTGAGAGCCATTTCTCTGCCTGCCACACCTGGGAAGCAGAATGAGTGAATGAACCATGAAAGCCTATAAACTCTCAGAGCATGGGAACCAGTATTGTGCTAGGCACAAAAAGGCAGAAAGAGGAGTTTCTGCCTTTTTGACCTCAAGGAGTTGATGATCAGTGGAATTGCAGGGGAGTGACTGAGAACCCTTCAGTTCTCTCTTCTCTTCTCAGATTAAACATCTCTGACTTTTGCAAGTTTTCCCTGTCCCAGGTTTATGTCAGACCCCTTGTTTTGTGTTCCCAAATCTCCCTCTTTAGGAATACAACACATTTGTGATGCTAGTTCAATAAATGCCCTTCTACAATATTTTACAGGTAAGGAGGGCAATTAAACATATCTGTCTTATTTCTCATTGTGTAGTATTGAGCAGAGTGTCTGGCATATGGTAAGTGTTCAAAATTTTATTGAAAAAATGAGTAAATAAACAAATGAAGAATTAGAGAAAAATGAAGTTTTTAAATCACCTACTACTTAATCCATATTGGGGCTTTGTAACCGGGACCTTGGGCTGTCTGATGTGGCATGCAAAATTGGAAGGATGAGCAAATGTACATTTCCCCTGCACTGTGGAGCAAAGAGTATTTATCAGATTCTCGAAGGAGTCTATATTAGTCTGTTCTCATGCTGCTAATTAAGACATACCAGAGACTGGGTAATTTATAAAAGAAAGAGATTTAATTGACTCACAGTTCAGCATGACTGGAAGGCCTCAGGAAGCTTACAGTCATGGCAGAGGGGGAAGCAAGCGTGTCCTTCTTCACATGGCAGCAGGGAGGCAAAGAATGAGAGAAGTGCAGAGCAAAGTGGGGAAAAGCCCCTCACAAAACCGTCAGATCTCATGAGACCTCATTCACTTTCATGAGAACAGCACGGGGGAACCACCCCCATGATTCAGTTACCTCCCACGAGGTCCCTCCCTCAGCACGTGGGGATTACAATTCAAGATGATATTTGGGTGGGGACACAGAGCCAGACCATATCAGAGTCCATAGCCAAAAAGAGATTAGGAAGTACTGCTTTAAGTGAGCAGAGTTGAAATGAGGTCATTTGGCCATAGTACAGAGTAGGAGGATACCATATTGTCCCACGAAAGACTGACTTCTTTCTGAAGCTAACTGGGCTTTTGTATCTTTTTCCCTCGACTCTAGGAGAAGAGAGCGTGCTGCCTTTCCTGACACAGGACTCTAATTCCAAGGCTCGGAGGGGCATTTTAAGAAGAGCTGTCTTTTCTGAGGACCAGAGAAAGGCTCTGGAGAAAATGTTTCAGAAACAGAAATATATCAGCAAAACAGACAGAAAGAAACTTGCCATCAACTTGGGACTGAAGGAATCACAGGTACTAATGAGCAGGAAGATGTCTACTGCCTCTGATTTCTTGTGAGATCAGATGAAATCAGTTGCGTTCAGGGTGGTGGGCCATAGGAAACTGCTTCTGATTTCTTAAGGCACACAATGGAATCCATTTATTTGGCAAATGTTTCTTATACCAGGCATGGTGCTAGAGCCTGAGGTGTTCTTGAAATGCTTTTCATATTTTTTTAGTGGGTGGAGATATATGTCCCATTTCCTATTTGGAAACAGATCCATTTGCTGAGAGGTCTAGGTTTTTGCCATTGGGCTGCTTAGTTCTTTTCAAATGAAGAGAAATGCTAAGGATGTGGTAATTACGTTATAAATCGTTTGCTCTGTGTTCAGAGAAACAGGTTAAATAATTCTTCAAAAAGCAGGAACCACTTTTCCTATCTTTCTTTTCATTTCCAATCCAAAATCAAAGCATGAATGAGTGACTCATGAATACTTCTTAATGGGTTTCATGATTTTGTTCTTTAGGTTTATGTCAAGTTCAATTAAGCAGTTTCACATTTGCAACACTTACATAGCTTTCTTGTTCATTGAGGTTTTGTATAATTGTGAATGGGACTTTCTGGCTTTTGGAGTTGTATAATACTCCATTTAACGTTTGACCTACTTGTTGCAAATAATCAATATCATAAGGCACTAGAAGTTTCCTATTTAACCCTCCTTATAATTGTCGTGTGAAATACACATTATAATAATCCCTGTTTTCTAAATGAAAAAATAAGAAACTGAATGTAGGTTCTATATCATGTAGTAAAGAGGTTTCGGAGGTAGGCTCCCACCTTAGACAACCTGACTCTGGGGTTTGTGTTCTCTTTAACCTAAAAATACCACGTACAGATGTGCATAGAGTTCACTGTACAAAGGCGTCTGGCCAAAAGGAATGGTGGCAGCTGAAATGCAGCACGAACACTGTTTGCCAGGTTGAGTTTTCTGGTGCAGGCCTACATCTGCCTGGAATTTTTGAATTAACATAAAGGGACTAAAGAGTTAGAGGAGGCTCTGGGCTAACCACCATACTCTACTGTTGTTCCTCACTACCGATGACTTGGTGGTTAATTTTGGATCTTATTAAAACCAGTTATTGGCTGGATGCGGTGGCTCACGCCTGTAATCCTAGCACTTTGGGAGGCTGAGGCAGGTGGATCATGAGGTCAGGAGATCGAGACCATCCTGGCTAACACGGTGAAACCCTGACTCTACTAAAAATACAAAGAAAATTAGCCGGGTGAGGTGGTGGGCTCCTGTAGTCCCAGCTACTTGGGAGGCTGAGCAGGAGAATGATGTGAACTCGGGTCGCAGAGTTTGCAGTGAATCGAGTTCGCGCCACTGCGCTCCAGCCTGGGTGACAGTGTGAGACTCCATCTCAAAAAAACAAAAAACAAAAAAATAAACACAGTTATTATTGGACTAAACTCTCCTTGACCCTAGGGAAGTGTCTTCACAAGCTGCTTGCCCCAACTTTGTCAAGTAGTAGGAAGCTGCACGAGGTGTAGTAGAGGGTAATTGGCCTATATTAGTCAGTCTGTGCTCTCCTAGCTGTGTGGTACTAATGAGTCCATAACCTTAATTGGTTGTTCTGTGCCTCAGTTTCTCACTTAAAAAAACAGAAACAAATATAAGAATTCTGTCTATGTCACAAAGCAGTTTTGTGTATATAACAGATAAATCAGCAGCCAGATCTTGATGGTCTGTTGTGTGCAAGACACTGTGCTAGGTAGGCAATAACAGGGAATATTGATAAATACTGAATAAGACACCGTCTGTGCACCTCAGAAGCTTCCACACCCCATGGAAACTCATAAAAAGTTTGATAAAACTATATAATAATAGAGACAGTATCACGTGGTAGGTTAGATATACTGCCCAATAAGGCGATCAGTTGTCAAAGTTACTTATCTCTCTGAAGCCTTTTGTTGATCACCATCTCTGCAAAGGACAGCCGTGTGATGGGTCCATATACGACTTCTGGAAAGTCTAGTGATGGAACTCTCTGATCTCAGAGGAGCTGTTGGGCCTGAGAGAGGATATCAGGGGAGCTCAGTGGGCCTGGCCTGCATCTCACTGGTGTAAGAAGCTCCTATTATCAGAGGGGAGACAACAGGCAGGTTTGGGAGCTTGGAGAGCCTCTGGTTGAGTTGAAACTTGAAGTAGGTGTTAAAAGATGGAAAGCAGTGGAAAGTAGCTAAGTTCCATCTGACAGTGCTCTGAGAAATTGTGAAAATCTCTGATAGTACATATTGTGGTCCCAAAAAGAGACTTCTGAAAAGAGAATGCAACAGACATATATAAAAATTATGGGGTATGACCACAATCTCTCCTCCTGCCTCAAAAACAACTATTTTCCTATTTGTATGCTATCTTGTTCTTATCCATAGGCATATGGTTTTACATAGTTAATTATATTGTGTTTAAAATTTGGTGCCTCAGGAGTGAGTACTTTCTGTCTTATTGAATCACAGAACTAATTTAACATTTTCTTATTTGTAAATCTATCCATTACACAATTGTAGTATATCGATTATAACATTACAATTTGTAAATATATCAGTCTTATTTGTAAATGTATCAGTATATCAGTTACAGCATCTCAGAATTTAACATTTTCTTGTTTGTAAATATATCCATTACACAAATGTATGAATTACACAATTATATCAATGATAACATTACAATTACAATTTGTAAATATACCAGTCTTATTTGTAAATATATCAGTATATCAATTACAGCATCTCAGAAGTAATTTAACATTTTCTTATTTGTAAATACATCAATTACAATATATCAATTACATGATATTTATTGTGGTAAATTCAATTAAAAAGGAAACCTGTAAAGATAAAAGTGAAAACTCATCTTACTCTCCTCGAATCCAATTCCTTGGTTACTTCTGTCATTCACAAATGGTCCTTGTTTGAATTTTTGACACATCATGTATTATTTTAAAAATAAATTTATATGTGTATTGTATATGCATGAACATATAGTAACACAAACACTTGCATGCTTACCATGTGCCCTTACATTTTGTGTCAATTAATTCATACAAAAATTTTATGAAGTAACTACTTTTACTACCTCTATTTTACAAGTGAAGAGGCTGATAATTGTGTGTGTGTATATATATATATATATATACATATACATACTTACATAAAAATTTAATCATATTGTGCATGTATTTTGACATTTTCTAAAGAACAGTACAAATCACCTGTATATCCAGCTCACAGATCTAGCAGTAGAGGCCAGAAGATCCTCCAAGTATCCCCTCCCACTCACTATCTGCTCCTTCCAAGGGTATCCTCTATCCTAACTTGTAACTTCTTAGTTTTGCCTCTTTTTGTACTTTTATATAAGTAGTATTATTCAGTGTGTAGACAGAATGTGTTATATCCATATAATGGAATATTATTTACCCATAAAAAAGAATGAATTACTTACTGATAATACTACAACATGGATGAACCTTGAAAATATTATACTGAGTGAAATAACTCACTTACAAGGACCACATATTATATGATTCCATTAATTTGAAGGTCCAGAATGGGGAAATCTATACAGACAGGAAGTAAATGAATCTACTTAGGGCTGGGGGAAATAGGGAATAGAACAGAGATAGCCAAAAGGTGTGGGATTTCCTTTTGAGGTGATGAAAATGTTCTAAAATTGGTGATGGTTGCGTTATCTGTGAATACATGAAAACCTTTGAACTGTACATTTTAAATGGGCGAATTGTATTGTATGTGAATTATAGGCTCATAGAGCTATTAACAAATTTTAAAAAATAGTATCATTCAGTATTATTTATATAAATAGAATTATATATGCTTCTTTTACTTAACAGTATGTTTGTGAGAATCTTCATGTTGTGTGTAGTAACAGCTCATGGGTATTCATTGCTGTGTAGTACTACCATTATGTAGTATACCACAGTTCATCCATTTACTGATGGTGGGCATCTGTATTGTTCCCAGTTTTGGGCTATTATGAATAATGCTACTGATAATGTGTATTGTTCGGTGCTTTTTTCCTTTTTGAATATTATGGATTGCTTCCTTCCATGTCAGTACATACGGATCTACTTCATTCTTTTTTTGTGTTTCGTAACAGACCATCATTTCACCATCCTCAATTTTAAGTTACTTCCAATTTTCACTATCACAAATTTTTATGCACTTTAAAAATATTTTGTAAGAAGAGAGTGTGAGTGAGATTTATGTGTAAAAGTGTATGTACATTTAAAATGTGGCAGATTAAAAATTCCTTTCCAAATACAACATTGTATCAAATTAGATACTGACATATGAAAATTTCATTCTTACTAACAAATAGTTCCATTTTGCAAAACCTCTACCATTTATGATTTGAAAAATGTTGCCACTCTCATGGGCAATGCTATTTGTTATTTTTCAATTTGAATTTTCCTAACTACCAGAACGTGAGGGGCTTTTAATTGTTTTATTGGCCACTTGTAGTGTGTGAATTGGCCTTTTCATGGCTGCATCTTTTTTTTTTTTATTATATTGTCTTTTTATTGATATGTAGCAATACTTTGGCTGTTAGTCAAGAATTATGGAATATTATGGTTAGGAAATTTTTCCTGTTTCAGATGTTGCAAAAGTCCTTTCTAAGTTTGTGACTTTTTTTATTGAGGTAAAATATGCATAGCAGAATTTATTATTTTAACCTTTTTTAAGTGTTCAGTTCAGTGACATTAAGTACATTGACATTGTTGTGAAACCATCACCACCATTCATCTCCAGAAACTTTTTCATCTTGTAAAACTGAAACTCTGTATCTATTAAACAATAATTCACCATTTCCCCCTCTCCCACCTCCTGGCACCCACTATTGTACTTTATGTTTCTATTAATGACTATTCTAAGGCTCTCATATGAGTGGAATAATATGGCGTTTGTACTTTTATGCCTGGCCTATTTTATTTAGCATAATATCTTCGAGGTTCATTTCTGTTGTAGCATGTGCCAGAATTTCCTTCCTGTTCAAGGCTGAATAGTATTCCTTTGTATGTATATACCACATTTTATTTATCCATTTATCTGTTCCTACATGCTTGGTTGCTTCCCATTTTTGGCTATTGTGAATAATGCTGCTGTGAACATGGATGTACAAATATCATTTAGATTTCTTGCTTTTAGTTTTGTTGGGTAGTTTCTGGCTTGTTCATATGTTTGTACAGAAATTTCTCATTTTTATGTATTCGGCTCCTTTATATCTTTTCTTTTCCATGTATCCTCTGTTTTATGTCATGCTTATGAAAACATTCGTCTCCCCAAGACTATCATGATAATCTCTATTTTCTTTTAAAACTTTTGCAGTTTTATTTTTATATTTAGCTATTTAATCTATCTGGAATTTGTTTTTGCATTTTTTGAGAGGTAGAACTTTCAATGTTACTCCCCATATATGCATTTGTCTCAACACGGTTGATTGTGAGGAAACTCCTTTTATGCTTTTTTTTCTTTGAGATATCACTTAACAACAAATATTTATAGATATACAGAAAAGCTAAGAGAAGAGGAAATAACGAATGTGATGATAAAGGAAAGAATCACCATTGAAAACAAAAAACTGTCTCAGTGAAAACCCATTAGAAATACTTGGTATGCTTTCTAGGAATAAATGCCCGCTGCAAACAATAAATGAACTTATGAGTAGAACCAAGTGCTGTGGTATGTACACATTAGTTCTGTTTTCATATGAAAAGCCTTAATCATGGTGTTGTAACTGAGATGACAGTCTTTTGCACTGAATTGCCTGGGGTAGATTTCTTCCATTTTGAACACTGCCAATCAAGTTGAAAGAAAGAAGAAATTGTTTTTCCAATCTGGAATGAGAGCCTCAGATAGAATTTTTTTCTTCACTGAGAGAAATACTTGGTTGATATAATAATTATTTCTTCAGGTAAAAATTTTCTAGTTTTTGTTTTAAAAATAGAAATCAACTAAATTGTTAGTGTAAGGATGTGATGCAATACACAGGAAAGAATGTGATTGGCTTTTAAGCTTCCAGGAAACCAGTTGTGAAGTTGTCAGCTCAGGCACAGTTGACTACACAGTGTATAAAGAGGGAGGTTAGTAATAAAGACTCAAGTGGCATGGGTTGGGGGTAGGTATGGTTCAAATTAGGAACCACCATCATAAGCACTTTTGGCTTAATTACAATTAGTTGTTATTTATTGAGCCTAATTCTTACAGTTTGATAAATCCTGGGAGTAATCAAGACTTGGAAACTGTATAAAGCCTGCAATTTATCAAAGCATTACAGAATGCATTCTTAATTTAGTCTCAGAAAGCTCCTGATGAGGTCTGAATGTTTATAAGAGCCTGGGCCCTGGAGTCAGACAGTCATGAATTCTAGTCTCAGTGCTTCCATTTCACTAGCTGTGTGACCATGAGCTAGTTAATATCTCCAAACTTCAGTTTTTTTAACATGTGAAATGAGGACTTCTTACAGCCATTCTGAGGATCAAATTATAAAATCCATCCCGAGTGCATAGCCTGATGCCTGGCACTAAATAAACACTCAGATGCTAATACTAGCCCATCCATTCTCTTTGAATAAATAATTCAGCACAGACTAGATGATATTTTAAAATATCTAGGAGTTAAATGAATTTTGAAAGCTATCAGACTTACAGGGTGTAACCAATTTATCACAGTTGTTTTGTTTCAAATGTGTGTATGGGGATATTAGATTAAGATATTTTTGGCAGGGTGTGGTGGCTCATGCCTGTAATCCCACCACTTTTGGAGGCCAAGGCGGACAGATTCTTTGAGCTCAGGAGTTCAAGACCAGCCTGGGCAACATGGTGAAACACTGTCTCTACAAAAAAAACATAAAAATTAGCCTGTTGTGGTGGTGCGTGCCTGTCATCCTAGCTACTCAGGAAGCTGAGGTGGGAGAACTGCTTGAGCCTGGGTGGTGGAGGTTGCAGTGAGCTGAGATTGCACCAGGGTAACAAAGAGACACCCCATCTCAAAAAAAAAAAAAAGATATTTTGAAGGAGTTCATGTGAAAAGCCACAAGGACTTTTTGAGGTCGGCTCTCATAAGGTATTCTGTAGAAGGGATAGTAGAAGCAATTACAGTTTAAAATGCTGAAGTAAAATAACCTGGAATAAGTGATCATTTTGTGCAATTATTTTGTCAATAGGTGAAAATTTGGTTTCAGAACAGAAGGATGAAATGGCGGAATTCCAAAGAAAAGGAAGTGCTTTCCAACAGGTGTATCCAAGAAGTAGGTCTTCAAGAGGATCCCCTCTCACGGTCTGCTCTGGGTTTCCCTTCTCCATGTCCTTCAATATGGGATGTCCCCCAACAGCACTCAAGTCCAAGATGGAGGAATAATTCTCCAGAACCTTCAGAAAGACTAATCCAGGAGAGTTCAGGGGCACCACCCCCAGAAGCAAATTCACTGCAAGGTGCCTTGTATTTATGTTCTGAAGAAGAAGCTGGAAGCAAGGGTGTACTTACTGGGGCCATCTGAATGGAAGCATTCCTCCACATCAATTTAAAAGAACGCTTAGTAGTAACATTTGGGCTCTAATGCCAGCTCACCTGTACCTCATCAGTGCTTACAGCCTAACAACTTTGGAGCGATATATGAACTAATGCTTTAGGAAACTCACTCCAGTGTTCTCTTGTTTGGCCCTAGACTCAGGCTTAATTTGTAAGTGGAGTAGAATCTCCCAGGAAGTATGATGGAACTGAAAAGAAGGACAGCAACAGCTGGCTCGGTCCCTGCTCTTAGTATGTGTATATGTGTGTGTGTCTCGATGTGTGTAGATACATAAATATCCATTAAAATGTGTTAGTAGAAACTAGTTTCTCTTTAACTATTGCATTGAGTAAATTCATTTCCTTTTATGTGAAGAAAAATACCATTGACAGAATGTTATTAATTTTTTGAAAATAATGTAAAATTTGGACTTTGGTGCAAACTTTCATACCCCAAAAACATGTTTTAAAAAATCCTCTATTTTCCAACTTCTTTTGGTATCCAGCTAAGTGAATTTTAACACCTTGACTCAGCAGTCCTCATCAAATGAGCCGCTGCTAGATACATACACTGAAAATATATATTTAAAATGAACCCGACAAGCAAATTAGAAGAATTTCTATATATAACTATTAGTATCCTTAATCTCCAAGTCTCTGGACCATCGGGCCATCGGGAGGCCCATTTAACTAATAAGTATTTTTTAATCTTTTCTCTGTAAATATGGGCCTAGACCAGGGTTTGCAAAATAAAATGCCTTTAAGACCCTGTCAGGTAAATAAAAGCTATGGCTCACCCAAAGATATTTGAGTCAAGTAATTTTTCAAATACTGTATTGGCCAAACAGAATATCTATGCCAAGAAGTATGTGATCTCTGGCCAAGACTAAAGAAAGCCGTGGTGTCACAGTTCTTAAATTTTTCTAACTGGACTTAAAACCACAATAACTAACAGAATCAACGATGATTTCTGTTTGCGCTTCTAGTTAGAGACTCAATCTTCCACTTAGGTGACATACACTTTACATATTAGGTTATTTTTATGTATTAACAAACACTACACAGATGTTTTGTGTTTTTTGACTACCCTGAAATCGTATCTTTCTAAAATTGCATTTCTGGTAATGATCTACTTAGTTAATCCAGAAGTTTTTACTCCAGGACCAAGAAGAAATTATGTTTCACTTTGAAGGAAATGAAACAAAAATAGGAAATGATGTGGTTTTGCCTTGAACTCTTATCAATCTGTGGACAAGAAACACTCTGAGAAGTTCATTAAGTGGCATTTTGTTAGTGAGTAAGCTGCATAATGATGGTGGCTTCTAATTTGCTGAACTCCGCTAGTCTGAGAAGTTAACGTCTTTTGAGGGTTTAGTGTTTAGAAAAGATATTTCAGAAGATAATGGTTTTAATCAACAGCAGGAGATTATTTTCTATGAATAGAGTTGGACTTGGTATGTCAACCCGTGTCTTTACCACATGATCTTTTACTTAAAAGTCATTTTAGAAGCGTGTCTCAGTGCCTCATTGTGGGGAATGGGAGCACGGATCTGCTGACAAAAATTTGAAATTTAAAACCAGTCTTAAAATGATTTATAGTATGGTTTCTATTCTTATAATGTTAACCTCATTTACATTTATAGGGTACTTCCTATGTGCTAAGCATTTAGGGTGGATTAGCTCATCTAATCCTCATGGCAATAACGCTGTGATGTAGACGGTAATTACTATCAGGATTCCTGTTACCCAGACAAGGACACTAAGGCAGAGTATGGTTGGGGTAATTATCCAGCGTCATTAAGTTAATAAATGGGATTTGAACCCTGACACTCAAGTTTTGAATCTTGGAATCTTACCAACCATGTGGGGATTGCATACCGGTGTTATGTATTCACACAGCTATGGGATGCATTGTAAGAGATACATTTTGGGGATTGCAGTGAGATTTATTAAAGAAATTCAAAAGCTTTACCATCTTACTTGGGTAATGATTTTATCTTCAGTATTGTGTTTTCTATTAGATTTTGAACTTTAAGGAAATTAAGGAATTGCAAAATCCTTCAACTATGAAGCCTCTATAGAAAATAGTCCCATAGGAGTGTTTAAGCATAATCACTGTTATCATATATATATATGAGATATATATATAATCTATATATCACTCACTGCTAAAATAATAAAATGCTTATCTGTGGTCAGTGTTTCTTGAGAATAACTTGAAAGTCAAATAAGAGAAACCTCTGTCATGGCTATCTGATAACACAGGTAGGGCTAATTGGTTCTTAAATAATCTTCCCTCAGGGCCTAACCCAGCAGAGGCATCTAAGACCCAGCAGAGGCATCTCAGTGTAAAATTAGCTTGATATTCAAATAGATAAATCAAGCTTTTAATTGTTTTCCACTTTGGAATGTGTTAACACTTAGGAAAAGTATGCTTTAGATGGCTGTATTACCGGTACTTAGGAAACACATACACAGTACACATACATATGCCCGGTGTGCTTTCACTTTGCCTTTACTTGCCTGAATGGCTGGAGAGAGTGGCTGAGCCCCCTATCATGTTGAAGGGTCTCCCTTCTCTCTTGTGCTTTGCTACCATCCTTCCTCCCCTCATGTAAATATATAATTTTCTCTGCCATCTAGATGCAGACTCCGTTTCTTCAGTTGATGACATATTAGTAGATTTGTTGTCTGCTTTCCAGACAAATAGTGCTCTAGTGAGAGCCAGGGCCATAGAAGCCTGGAGGCTGAAGCATTTTAATTTAAAAAAACATTATCAAAAAGATCTTAAGCAGATGAGAAAAAATGGTGAGCATTATCCCCTAAGCTTTCAGAAAGATAAATACTTAGTGTTGGAAATATATAAACAGGTTAGGGATGATCACTGGCTTTTGAGACAATGAAAACCATGATCATTAATGTTTAAAGGGCAGTTCTATTTTCTTAGTAATATGGTGGTTTGAATGGGGAACCCAATTATTCAGTCCATTGGTTCTCAAACATTAAAAGTACACGTCCATGAACATGCTATACCTTCCAACCAGTTTTGGATATGTGCTCAGATTTGGGCATACACTTCATACATACTGCTTCAAAAATCCCTGCCACCCACCCCACCTCTCAAGAATCATTAATACACACTCTTGTTCACTTTTCAAATACAAGTCACAATTAAATATGCTTGTCCAAGCCACAGATATTCTTTCTGGCCCCCTTCACTCCACTTTCTGATGCATTCCCTTAAAAACTACATACCCCCCAGTGTGCTCCATGACCCCTCCCTTGATGACTAATGGTTCCATGAAGCCTATTCTACTGTGTACATAAGCTTGTTAGACACTGCATTTTGGCTATCTGAAATTCCTCAAAATATTTTTTCTCTCTAAATTTAAGCACTTACTGGGTACTATGTATGAAGCCTTATCCTAGCTCTATGTAAACAAGTATGATGAAGAGCATGGTTCTTGACCTCAAGGAGCTTCTAATCTAGTCTTCTTGCCAAGAAGAAATTCTGTGACATTTTCCATTCCGCTGGTGATGGGATCCAGTGAATTTGGGGCAAAAAATAAGCTTCTGACATCCTCCAACACGTCATCTTCCATTTGCAATGCAAGGTTCTTCCATGATCCACCATACAGAAAAATGCAAGCTGCTTGACCCTGCTGCTTTTCTGTGCTGTCCCTCCTCCATTCAGGCCACAGTGGACCCAAGAGGAGCCAGAAAGAGTCCAGGGAATTCAGTAGCTTCCTTTTGTTCAAGGCGTACCCTATTTCTATTTTTCTTTCTACCTTCTCAGCCTCAGGTCAGCCTATACCTATGGTAAGTAGGACGAGAGAAGAAAAAGCAAATAGTGCAAGTTGGGGAAGTCAGGATGAATGTTCTTGAATACATATGGAAAATTTTGCAGAATTAATTACAAACAATTTCTGAAATAAGCAACTACCCTAAAGACATAGCAATAGCCTAACAAAGATGGCCCTTAGCTTCCAGCTACTACTTCAGTTCTGTTACATTATTATTTCTAGTTATAAAGAAGCACACTTGAAAATATAGCTAACAAAGTAAAGTTCATATATAATTCCACCTGGTGATAGCCAACTTAGCTCTTTCATGAAACATTTTCAGTCATTTTTTGAATGTATTTTTATGTAACTATGTGTGTCTAAACAAATTTGGACCATTGCGTATATCCAGTTGATTCTACTATTTTTTTTTACTCAATTTTGTACACAGAACATTGCCCCATGTCATTAAAAATTACTTGAAACTGTTTATGACAGCTGTGTAATATTTCCTTGTAGCTCTTTCACTTCTTGAGGTGGACCAGGGTGTGGGGCTAGGAGATGACAGGTGATAGAAAGAATGATCATGGGCTTTTGTACCATAGAATACACTTAAGAAAAGTAATCTGATGTTTATCATTTATTTGAGCTAAGTGAAACTTCAACAAACATAAGACTTAGAATGAAAACTGAATAAATATACTTTTAGTGGTGTTAAATATAGTGTATCAAATACACCAAAGGGAGAGCCTCTTCCAAAAAGCCACCATAAAGCTTATCAAAACATATCCCATGCGTTCAAAATTCAAGAGAGTGTACACACTTGGATTTGAGTCCATAGCCAGCAGCAAACATAATAATATGGGATAATATTCCTCTGTTTTATTGTGCTTTGTAGTCAAACTGATACATTATTCAGCTTTTTGAGTATGTATTATTGTCTACCAAGTGGGCAGGAGTCAAGCAAACTAATGGGGATCTGGCATCTGTCACCACTCCAAAGCCTGAGGTGATAAATCTGGTTTGCCTATTTAGTCTAGAATCTCCCACTTGTTATAAATTTATGGATTTTTTTCTCCAAGTTGCTTAAATAACAGAAGGGGAGAGTCTTTCAAGATCAGAACATTCCAACGTTAAAAGGGAGCTGGGAAACTTTTAATGTTATTTACACCTAAAGCAGAAACATCATTCCTTGATGTTAGTCAAAAGCCAAACACCAGGCATGCCAAATCTGAATAAAATACAGTGATATAATTAATACATAATATATATCTAATTCTTTCACTATGAATGCCATGCCCATCAACTACTGAATAGGCATTGTAGTTTCCTAGGTCTGTTGCAATAACTACCACAAACAACAGTAATTTATTCTCTCATAGTGGTAGAGGAAAGACACCTAAAATCAAGGTGTCAGGAGGGCCATGCTCCCTCCAATGCATCCAGAAGGCTGCTTTTTCCAGTTGTTGATAGGTCCAGCTCCAGCTCCAGGCATTCTTTGACCTGGGGTTGCATGACTGCATTGTCTACCTCTGTCTCCATATGGTTTTCTCTCCTATGTGTTCTCCCTATGTGTCTGTGTCCCAAATGTCCCTATGCCTTTCTCTTAAAAGGATACCTGGCATTGGATTTAGAACCATCCCTAAATCCAGATGATCATGTCTCAGGATTGCTTACTTAATAGCACCTGCAAATACCCTTTTCTCAAATAAGCTTACATTCACATCTTCCAGGGTTCAGAACATGACGTATTTTTTTTTTTTTTTTTTGCAGGGGGGACCACTATTCAACCTCCTACAATCATAGTCTACAATATCAGAGGAGAAGGCTTAGAATGAACAAAAGCAAAAGACTTAGACTTCCTTGGCAGTCCTTCCCATGGAATTTGACTAATATTGCTTTGACTTCAGCTTGTTGTGTACCAACCACACAACACACTACTTGCAAGAATATCTGGGATACATAAATTGTTGTGAAAGTTTCCTCCAGTGTGGATTTCTTTCTATACTGGGAAAATTTAAGAAAATACAATGTTAATTTTTCAAAGCCCTCACATGTATTCCAGATGTTGACCATTTAATCCAAGAAGGTGTTTCCTTATTATACAAATGTGGTACACATAAAAAAATTGGCATTGTTTAAATTATGACTCACACATGAACCATTGTTTTTTGTGATGTAGTTATTTTAAGTGATTCATTAAAACAATGCCAATATTTTGAGCACATACCATATTTGTATAATGAGGAAACACTTTCTTGCATTAAGTAGTCAACATCTGGGATCCATGTGAGAATTTCTTTGAAATTTTAAATAAAGACAAATTAGCATGGCATACGTTTTCTCGGAGATGGAACTAGCTGGTAATCAAAAGACAAGGTGAACTTGGTACTACATTGTGATGAAGAAAATGGGATATTGTTGACAGAAGCATCAATAATGTTTACCATTTTGAGGAAGGCATAAATGGAAGTATAGAGTGAAATGCAATAATGAGCTGTGTTGAGTCAGGGATCAAAAATCAACTCAATTGTACTCTCTTAGTAAAAATGTAAGTTATTAAATACTTTCTGGAGGGCAATTTGGCAACACAAGCAACCTGAGTTTGCCTATGTGGCTTTTTTTGAGACAAGGTCTCACTCTGTCACCCAGGCTTGAGTGTAGTGTGGTGTGATTATGGCTCACTAACGCTTTGACCTCCCGGGCTCAAGGGATCCTCCTGCCTCAGCCTCTGGAGTAGCTGGGACTATAGGCATGCACTACCATGCCTGGATAATTTTTTTATTTTTTAGAGACGGGATACTACTATGTTTTCCAGGCTGGTCTCGAACTCCTGGGCTCAAGTGATCCTCTGCCCTCCTGCCTAGTCTTCCCAAAGTGCTGGGATTACAGGCAGGAGACACCATGCCTCATTGAACATGTGCTTGGCCAATAAGCACATGTTAAATGAGCATATTCTTTGAACAGACAACGCCATTTACTGGAATTTATCTTAAAGTAATAGATATGCAGTTTTATATACAAGGATGCTCGCTCTCTATGCACACACACACCCACAGAGTAGACTTTCTTTTAGAGCAATTTTAGGTTCCTGGAAAAACTGAGTGGACATAGAGAGTTCTTGTATATCCCTTACCCCTGCATACTTACAGCCTCCCTCACTGTCAACATCTTGAACCAGATTGGTGTATTTGTCACAATCAACAAACCCATATGACACATGATTATCACCCAAAGTCCATAGTTTACAATTAGTGTTCACTGTTGGTAGTGTTCATTCTATTGGTTTTGACAAATGTATAATGATATACAGCATAGTTTCATTGTCCAAAAATCTTCTCATAATATAATTTGGTAACAATAGGGCTTTGGTTAAATCAAATTTAGCAAATTATATAATGAAATCCTATGTGGCCATCGAAAATAATAATGTAGAAGAATAATATCTTTATAAATGGCCATGATTCATTGTTAAGGGGAAAATAGACTACAAAATGTTAATAGCCTAATATTTTGTGTGTGCCTATGTGTATATGTGTGTGTTTATAAGTGTGTGTGTGTAGGCACGAGCACACAGCTTTAAAGAAAAGACTGTATGCCCATATATTAACTGTGGCTATTTCTGGGTAGTGGGGTTAAAGTGATGTTTGCTTTATTTTCCATGTACTCTGTTTTCTGAATAATGCACTATAAATGCATATTGCTTTTAAAATCAGCGAACACGTCTTGACATGGATATCTCACAGACATCTCAAATTCAAATGAGCCCTTTTCTCACCTTAAATCATCACCAGTATTTCCTTCTCTCAATAAATAGCAAAATAACCAGTTGCTGAATTCAGAAACTTGGGAGTCAGCTTGACTCTTTCCTCCCTCTCTCCCCTCATATGCAATGAATTACTTAGCTTTATCTATGCATTTCCCTTAACATCTCTTCAATCTGTTTTCTTCTTTCTGTCACCACAGCCACTAATGCATTCCAGATCACCATTATCCCTTGCTTGCTTCTTGTTTCCTAGAAATCTCCTTGCATTCCTTCTAGCTCCCTTCCAACTCCTTCCCCAGTCTGTAGTCAGAATGATTCTTCTAAAATGCAAATCTCATTGAATTAGGGTTCTCCAGAGAAACAGAACCAATATAATCTATATGTCTATATCTAGCTAGCTAATTAGATCTATCTATATCTATAGATATATAGATATATGAGAGGAGATTTATTATGGGAATTGGCTCACATGATTATGAAGACCAATATGCCATCTGCAAGATGGAGAACCAGGAAAGCCAGTGATGTAATTCAGTCTGAGTCCAAGGCCTGAGAACCAGGGATCCCATTGACAGGCCTGGCTTCTTCTGGAGGCTGTAGGGAACAATCCATTCCTTGCCTCTTCCAGATTTTGCTGGCTCCAGTATTCCTTGGTTTGTGGATGTATCACTCCAATATTGGTCTCTGCAATGACATGGCCTCCTTCTCTTCCTTCTGTGTCAAATCTCCCTCTTACAAGATTGCCTTTGGGACCCTGTTATATAATCTAAAATAATATTTCCATCGCAAGATCCTTAACTTAATCACATCTGTAAAGAGAGTCTTTTTCCCAATGAGGTAAGATTTACAGGTTTCAGGGATTAGAACCTGGTGTCTTTCGGGAGCCATGTTTTCCGCCTACCACAATTAGTATAATATTTTAAAATATGCTAGTTAAGACTTCCTTTTAAACAACACTTTTCCTTGGTCAAAAGTATATTTTTATATTATGATTCTATAAACATATATAAATCTTCTTCATGATAAAGAACTTCAAGTCATAAAGAAATAAAACCAGAAGACCTAATACCATTGTTTTAATAGGTATTATTGTCTTCTTTCTATATATTGTAAAACTTTAAATTCCTTTCATATAAATAGTAGAAACTGGTCATTTCATTGACTTGCTTGTGCTAAAAGGAATTATACATTAATCCTTTCAATTATTTTCTATAGGTATTTTTAATCATTACATTTCTGAAATTTTACTCCTCTTTATGTTATTTCATGTTATTCTTTTTTTCTCTTTGATGAAATATCTATAGTAACTCTCTGTATGGTATTTATCCATGCCACATTGTTTTTACCTTTATAATATTTGTCGTGATTTACCTCTACAAATTTATATCGAGTTTTTTAACTTTAGCAATAAATTTAGAGTTTATTGAGCTTGTATTGTGACTTCCACAGTCGTTTATTAACTTCATGTTTCATTCGAAATTGATTGCATCTTCCTCTCCAAATGAGCTCCACTTATACATTTAGACTCAATAAATGCACTACCTTAATCTAGACATCTAAATCAAAAGTCTGGGAATAATCTTGAATATCTTTGTCTGTCTATTTGTCTCTCTCTGTCTCCTCCATATAGTTTATCACAAAGTACAGTTGACTCTACATCCTAAATATTTATTCATTTCTTTCTATACTGCATGCACTACGTCATTCCAGGCCATCATC